TGGGAAGGAGAAAACCAAGTAATTGCCAGCTGAATGTATCCAGATCTTAAAAATATACATCTAGCTTTACATACTTAATTATACCAAGAAGAAATAAAGTATTGCTCTCAGCCCCAAAACAGCTTTCAAAATTCAAAGTCCCTTGAACATACCCTTTTTTCTTTTTAATTCTCTCATGTTTTGAGATCAGATTTCTCTTTTAACGAACTGGCACTCACTTCCTGATTGTCAACAAGGGGTGGGAATAAGGACTCCCCAAAATAACAATTCTGCTGCTGCTTTCTCTTCTGCTGGTGGTGGGCCGACTCCCACCTGTTACTCTCCTAGTCGTAGAGTTTAAGGCCAAAATGGAGGTAATCTAGTCTGACCTCCTTTATATCACTGGCCACCAGTGCCACCCAGTTCCCGCAACTAAACCCAACAACCAAAATTACAGTCCATAGGAGGTTAAACTGTAACGTGCTGTGGGCAGAGAGTAGGCAGGATCAAGGTGCATCAATGCCAGGGCATTAATTAGAGAGACCCAGATAATACTAGCAAGTCACCTGCATGCTGTGATGCAGAGGAAAGTGCGGGGAAAAAAAATCCCAAGGTGTCTCTGCCAATCTGACCTGTGGGAAATTCCTTCACAATACCACATACGGTGATTTAGACCCTGGGCATGTGAGCAAGAACCAGTCAGCTAAGCACCGGAGAGAGAATGCTTGGTGCCACCTCAGAGCTTTAGAATGCACTGTCCAGTGTTCCATTACCAGCTGTTTCTATCTGTGATGCTTCAGAGGAAGGAGACTTTAAAAAAAAAACCAAAAAAAACCCCCCCAAGAATACATTGGTTATGTGAAACTGAGGGAAGATTTCCACTTCTCCAACCTGCTTTTACTGAGGCTGTAGCTACAGTAACAGCGTCAAATCTAAGGAAAATTTTGGGGTTGTGGAAGAGGAGCACTAGGGTATCAGATGACCCTGGAGGCTGTCAATGTCCTTGAGAGAGGGCCAACAAAGAAATCAATAATTTCAAACTGCGATGGTGTTTTTTGTGGTGCAGACAAGTCCACAAGGAAGTGAACCTAATCTGTCAATTTATTTCATATAGACATCTAGCTATTATTGGATCGTAACTGGTCTTCAGTCACTACCCACCTGGTGCTAAAAGTCTGTGTCCCTTTACTAATTACCTGAATCATGTAGCTTCCCTCAAACTAATGGGTCCATATTGATCTTCCATGACATTTTATTATCCTTTCAAACTATGAAATATTTTGTAATCAAGTATATTTCAACAGAAGTTGTATTTTGACTGTACTCTTGGGGTGTTTGGTTAATTGAGGCTTTTAGCTTTTGAATTAAAGCAAACATTTATTGCCCACAGAAGTTAATGTAAAGCTTTACCAGTAAACAGTTGGGGATGGGAGATGTTGCAGGTATTATGCCCAAGGAATAGGGAGATGAAGAGGATAGAAATATATAGTATTAACCTGCTCAGTAAATCCTGTTTTATGGCATTAAGGAATGATATTTAGAAAATATCATTTCCATCACATAAATGACCAATTTAAAGAGACATTTAATATCCTATGAAAACATCAGTAATATGTTGGGGCTTTTTCATTTAAATGAACCCCGTTGAGTTGTATTCTTGGCACAAATGTGATCTTGGCACAAATAAACTAAACAGTGATGCTGCAAGATGAGTGACAAGATGCATCCCTCTTTTAAAAGAGAACTGTCTGATCTAGTGCTCCCCTGTTCATGCAGAATAGTGAAGGGCAGGAATAGGCAAGAGCACAATTAAATGGATTAGTAAAGAAATGAAATCTTAAGAAAATGCAACTGGCTGGGGAGGGAAGAAGCCATGCCAATGGCTCAGTTCTCCAAGGGGGTACCTGAACAAGTAAAGTACTTAAACATGTGCTTATCTTAAAGTGTGCAGGTGGTCCCATTGAAATAATTCAGACTTTTTATGTGCTTAAAGTTAAGTATGTGCTCAAATGTGTCTGTGGATTGGGGCCAATGGGCGCAAATTCTCAGGTTACAAAGTTTACCATGATGATCTTTGAAATCGCTTATCCCAGCATGTTGTTTTAGATGTTTCTGAAATGGAACTGTGTGTTTTTAATTAAAATTTGACCAAGTGTGGTGGTTTCAGGTAATAACCCTGGAAAGAAAAAGAAAAACTGGCTTTGCATTTTAGTAGTTCTAGTGCCAAATGGTATAAAAAAGTAGTGAAAATTACAAAAATGAATGAACATCTTATGTTCATTATTTAATGTAATATGAGTTGATAAAACATTTATTTACTTAAAATAGGATGAAATTTTCTTATTAGAGATCCATTGTGTTAGGTGCTGTACAAATAGTCTCTTTGCTGAAAAGTTTTGCATACAAATATACAAACAAAGACAGGCAGAGGATGAGGGAGAGGGATAGAATTATAGTGTTTTTTATGATGTAGATTATTCTTACTCAACTTGATTAAAAACAGGGTTTTCTTCTAAATAATGGCTGCATTTCCCTTTAGCTTATAAGTAGAGCACGGTTTCTCAAAGTTCATTGCACCGCAACCCTCTTTTGGACACACCCCCCACCCCCAAAAATTACTACATGACCCCAGGAGGAGGGACCAAAGCCTGAGACTGCCCAAGCCCCATTACCCCGGGTGTGGGGGGACCAAAGCCCAAGGGCTTCAGCCCCACACAGGGGGCCTGTAACCTGATCCCCACTGCCCAGGACTGAAGCACTTGGGCTTCAGCCCTTCATGGTAGGGCTCAGGCTTTGACCCTGGGCCCCAGCAAGTCTAAGCCAGCCCTGGCGACCCCATTAAAATGGGGTTGCGACCCACTTTGGAGTCCCGACCCACAGTTTGAGAACCTCTGAAGTTAGGGTGACCAGACAGCAAGTGTGAAAAATCGGGATGGGGGTGCGGGATGTCAGGCGCCTATATAACACAAAGCCCCAAGTGTTGGGACTGTCCCTGTAAAATCAGGACATCTGGTCACCCTAGCTGAAGCAGAGCAACAGATTTACAGGGGAAGTATAATTATAGTTCTACAGCATGCTTTCATAGAACTGAATCATATTTTTATGGGAAGTAGGAATGTATACAAAGATGCAGTTCTTTTGGATCATTAAAAAGAGAAATTTTGTGAGTGCTGTGCTTCCAAAACTCTCAATGCATTCCTATGTGTTTGGCAACTCTTGTCATCAGGGCCTTAAATGGGGTAGCGCTTTTAAAAAATCAAAAGGTCACTACTGTAATTTAAGCCAAACCACAGTGGCTAATTTTTGTAAACACATCTTTTAGTGCAACAGGTTTGAGACACTATATTAGTCTTTCACATATTAAACTATTAAGAGGAACTAAAAGACTGAAAAGAATATGCAAATTTTCCCCCAATATATTTTCAACTATATGCAAATAGAGATATGAATGCCAGAAAATGTATATTGATGCACGTAAGATTCTTGAACCTATTTTTAAAATTCATCATTGACTGGCTGATTAAAGCTGTTAAAATTTTTCAGACTAAATAATAATATTACCAGTATCTCATCATTCATTTCCTCCGCTTATAGTATTATTGGGACAGTAATAAAACTCAGTGCTTTCACTTCCTTAAATGTTACAGTATTTCTGTGCAGGCCCGTAACTGGGATTATAAAAGGAAGGATTTAATTAATACAAGTGTGGAAACTCCTCACTCTGTTTTTTCTCCACTGAAAATGAAGCTTGGACTGAATTAGCTCATTAGGGAATTCTCCCAATCCCTCAGAGCCCTTTTTAACCAACTCTCGTTTCTTCACAATAGTGAGCCTTCTCTGTACAGATATTAAGCAGCTGTGATCATAAATGCATATACCTTTGTGTACATAATATGTTTAAAAAAAGTATCAGCCCTATTTTGAGCATCGTCAGACAGTTAGTTATCTTCTGAAGCATGTTAATAGTTCAACATCCAGGTTTCTGTCAGTACATAATTATTACATTTCCAGTCTCTTGTAGTTTGAGGCATCTCCAGATCTTGTCAGTTTAGATCTTAGCATTTTTTTTTCTTCAAAGTTCATGAAGCATTGTTGATGGTGGACATATTTTACAAAGATGCAAACTCCAACACAGTTTATAACTTAAGTCTGATGGAGAACGTTAACATTAGCTTAGTCCAGGAAGGAGAACTATTTTGGTTTTTTGCCTTACAAACGGGCAAAATTCTGCCTGGTCTTAATTATTTTGCATGATAATAGTCTGTTATTTCATTTGCATGTTTCTGGGTGTCTTTCCTTCCTTCTCATTTCTTTTTAAATTTTATTGGGAGCCTGTCAAGATCACATATATCCACTTATATAAAAGTATAAAAATAGTTTTTATATTCTGCTATAGGGAAAAACATATAGATAAAAAAACTATTAGGGTGCAACATGTAATGGAAACACAGCTTGTTCCTGTTTTGTGAGGGGTGGAAAAAAATGAAACCAATCACATGGGGAGGATGTTTCTGCAGAATCATCCCTCTAATTTCAGATATATAGTGTGAAAGCAGCTGCAGTCAGCTGACAGCTTGTGGTTATGTTCAGATACATGTGGGGAAGGGGTGCACTGTTTCAAATGCATAATGAAGACCTCATTTCGTCATCTGGAAGCAGGGATGGTAGCAGCTCAGGGGAGATGAGACAGTAATGTTGCTCTAGTGGAAGGGAAGCCTTGTTACACATAACCAGAGCACTCTGCATGCAGCAGTAAAGATGCACCAAGACAACATGGCACAAATGTATTTTGCTTTCCGGAGCGGGTAGAGAATAAACGCAAGAAGCAGGAGATGGACATGTCCACAAAGAACCTGAAGTTATTTTTTTATACTCCACTGCCCTTTACCTCTGTTGGTACCTTCCAGAGAAATTGGTATTAGATGTATTTTTAGCTTGCTGTATCCAGAATCAGTATGACAACATAATTCTGTCTTTACATCTGTAAGCAGCTTTTACTATATTTTCCTATTTTCTGCCAGCTGCAGTTTACAAAGGATGTCACAGCACTGGTAAGAAATGTACACAGTAGCAATTTCTCAGATTTTTGTAAGGCATGTTTTTCTTAAGATTTATAAGAAGCCAGAATATTAAAACCTGCGAGATGCTGGAAGTGAGCTCGATATGCTGATCAGCTAAATTCCCTTCATAGCGTATAACCCTGTTAATTTGTAGAGTATGCCTGTGTTACTTGGTTGATTTCTTTTCAGTTTGCTTTAATATTCTGCACTTAACTAATGCTCAACATAATGTTTTTTGCAGCAGTGTTTTAAGTGCCTCGCCCTCCCCCTCAGTACTTTGCTCTCAGTCTTATGTTTATGGCTGCACTATGGCTTTTACAACCTGTCTAATGCTAAGACAAGTCATGTTGATTGTCTGAATTGAGCATGTTATGATTTGAGCAGGAAATGCTGTAATATGATACCACACCTAAACTATATAAAAGATCTGGGAAATCATTTTAGTCATTTGCTGTATTGGCAAGATTGGAATTGTCAGCTCTCTATTTCATCACATTTTAATTAAACCAAGTAATGCTAAAGTTTTAAAATAACGTAGTAGTTTTTAAATGTTATTTGACTTTGATTTTGTGTATATGCTGTTGGTTTTGCAATGATTACAGAAATGTCTCTTGATGCAAAAGGGAGACTGATGAAACGTGCAAAATGTAATCTAACCATTTTTCTTAGGAGTCAGGCTCTTAAACACAAGGTAAGATGTGAATTATTAAACATACACAGCAAATTAATTCGAAATTTTAGTTTGCATTTTACGGTAATGGTGTATAGACAATAGTAGGTACGCATGTATTTTCAAATTTATATCTGTCAATTTAAGCAACTAATTTTATAATAGTGTCATTTATTGAATGTCTTCTATAACATGTAAGATTGTTTAAAGGGTGGTGGGTGTTGGCTGGCAACAAAGATGTTATCAGTCACTCTAATTTATTCATTTTACATTTAGCAACAGTGCCTTTTACATATGAGAATCTATATTACAGGAAGAAGTAGATAGCATTTGTATACAATCTTTTAAATGGCAAGACAACAGAGAATATTCTAGTGCTGGTTAAATTTATTATGCAGTCATTTAACCTGTCGATTGCTGTGAAATCCTGGCTCTCAGCATCAAGAGGCTTAAAAGGGAGGAATATTTGAAGTAGTATGGTTGGAAGAAATTGGGTGGTGGTGGGGATTAATCCTTTAGTTTGTGCTCACAAATCTTGGGAAATGTCTCATCTACCTGCATTGATTTTTAGAAATTTGTAATTCATTTGGTTTCTAAAGTGAGTTTTTTGTTTTTTTCTTTTCTGTAGTGACTTCACATGTTACATTTCCAAACAGCAAGGAAGCATTAAGGGAAGAAATGTACTATTTTTATACATTTTTAAACTGTGCTGTTATTTAAGATCAAGTGTAGTATGAATTTAATATCCAAGCTGTCTTCTCTCTAGGGACTTTATCCTGCCGTTGCAGGAGAATGGACTCAGTGTGGTGATCTTTCCATCTCTGTTTTCTGTGAATTAACACTTTTTTAAATCGTCCATCCACAGGCATATTCCCAAGATGCCTACCTGAAAGGCAATGAAGCCTATAGTGGCAATGCTCACAACATTCCTGAACCACCACCAATATGTTATCCTCGACTAACATCCACAGCTTCTGTCATGGCACAGTCTGTAGACATACCGCCTTCTGACTCTTCATTGGGCAAGCAGCAAGCCACTAGACCAGTACGAACATTGATGCAACCAGACAGGGCCTATAGAATGGAAATACAAGTGCCTCCATCACCAACAGACATTGCAAAATCAAATACAGCTGTGTGTGTTTGCAATGAAACCATAAGGACTGTTGTTGTGCCTTCTGAGAAGGCTGTAGATTTGCCATCGTGTAGAACCAATCATGCTGGTCCATCACACAGGACGGAGGAAGTGAGGTATGGCTTAAAGGATCAAACCACTTTAAAAACAAAAGCATGGACCACATCACCACCATCTTCAGTGTCCACTGCCGTTGTACTTCCTCAGACTCCACTTACAAGGCCAGTAGATCCCACTGGAATGACAAGTAAATCTGGAAATTATGGAGGACACCCAGAAGGGATCTCAAGCACTAGACCACCTGCAGGTTCTCCCCCAACCTCTACTAATCACTATACTTCTCCAAACTCCCACCAGCACATAGACTGGAAAAACTACAAAACCTACAAAGAGTACATTGATAACAGACGTTTGCACATGTACGGCTGCCGAACAATACAGGAAAGATTGGATAGTTTGAGAGCGGCCTCTCAAAACGCAACTGATTATGTGGTGCCAAATCGCACTATTTCACAGGTACGACGCAGAAGCACCTCTCATGATAGGGTTCCACAGTCTGTTCAGATCCGACAACGGAGCGTGTCCCAGGAAAGACTTGAAGATCCTGTGTTGATGAAAGAGTGGCCAAGAAGTGCTTCACAAGATGCATTAACTTCGCCATCTATTAGTTCTAGGAGCCACAGAACTCAGTCGTGGGATTACCTTGGCAAGCAGGGTGAAACAGAAAATTTTTGTGCTGAGAATCTTGTTGCAGATTCAAATGAAGACAGAAAAAAGACTTACAAGTGGACTGGATTTACTGAGCAAGATGATCGGCGAGGTATTTATGAAAGATCTAGACAGCACGCATTTCATATGTCCCTTCGAGGTCCCCATTTTTCTGTGGCTCCAGGTGCTTATAATTCAGACAGGCGAAAAAGCAATAGAGCCTCTGTGTCTGCTTCTCAGTTCCAGAAAGTTCCATCAGATGTAAAAACACTGCAGCCGACTAGGGATTTTCAAATAGCTGGTGGCATTTCAAAGCCTACAACCACCTCACAAGAGAGACTGTCTCTTGTGACAGACAGAAGTTCTAAAAGTAACTCTTTGAAGACCTCTGTTCCCTATGCAGAAAAATCTTCACTTCCCATTAATCAGAGCCTGGATATTGTGGCCAAAGACCAAAGAGCAGTAAATCACTTGCATCAGAGTGATCTGTTAAATCAGCAATCAAGGATCCGAGGAGAAGATGCCCCAGACCACAAAACAGAAATTGGCAAGAGCATCCAACCCCTCACTTCAACTGCAGCTTCAGCCAGACTTGTCCAACAGATGAGCGAGAGCTCAGCTACCTCTGATAACTTAGATGTTTCCTTTAGACAAAAAATTCAACATTTTGAAAGGGAAAATGCACAAGAGCCTGAAATTCAGCAACCAGATGTTCCGGAAAATGACACAGAAACAGTTGTCTTCCGGGAAAAATCTCCTTCTGGTCACCAGACTCCACAGCCTTTGAGACAACAATCCTACATCCTAGCAGTAAATGACCAGGAGGCTGTCTCAGACACTACCTGTTGGTTACCTAATGATGCACGTAGAGAGGTGCATATAAAAAGAATTGAAGAAAGGAAAGCATCAGGTTCCAGCCCACCTGGTGATTCCTTGGCATCCATTCCATTTATAGGTGAGCTAAACAGATTAATTGTATCAGTGTAATATGTATAAAGTATATTGTTTTACTACTTTGTCTCTAATTTATAGGGTTTAAATCAAGAGAACAACATTCAGGTGGCTAATTAGAAGTCATTTAAACCTTCCCTCTGTGTGGATTTTTTCCAACACTACTTAACCAAATAGACATTTAGGATGGTAAACACTGGAGTATTTTTCAGAAGAGGAAAAATATTTCATTCGTTGTGTGCTGTATAGTATGTCTAGGAAAACCCATTGTGATTCAAAATGTTTCTCTAGAATTTTCTTCAATTTCTTCCACAACTCCCAAAATTATATACCTTTTTCTGGTTTTTACTCCACGATCTGATCTGATCTTATTTGCAGTGGAGCATTGTGCATGTGATCATTTTTTATTCATTAGAAATAATTCAGCAGAATCAGTGCTTATAATGCTTTTCAAAACACTGTAAAATATAAGGTTGCTGCCCCAAGGACCGTTAGTCTTTCTTAGAAAATGATTAGTGGTGTGGTGATATGGGTGAGGATAATTGTAATAACGATTTGTGAAAAAAACCTGGTCTTAAGGGATTTGATTTATAAGTAGGGGGAAGCTGTTCATTGCCAGGACTTGGGGAGGGAGGAGCTGTTCCAGGTGTAAGCGGTGGAACAAAAGATGGTGCAAATCTGCAAGCAGGGAACAATTAATAGGACTGAGTAAGAGCAGGATGAATGGAAGGTCATGAAGGTTGTCATGGGCAGAGACATAAATGGGGACAGAGTTGTACAGAGCCAAGAAGGTGAGAATAAGAAGCATGACGTTGGTGTGGAAGGGAAAAGGACGCCCACAAGGGACTTAAGAAGCAGCAAGTAAAGAGCTTTGCAGTGTTCTGGGTAGATGAGAAGGCACAGAGCGAGTTACAGAGAAGAGGACATTTCAGTATCAAGGGTGAGATGTGTTTCTGTTGTATTCAGGTTAAGTTGCAGTCATCACCATATCATCTGAGTTGTGGTAGTTATGCTTATTCTTTAATCCATTGGAAACCTAGGCTCTGCAGACCTTTTCCCACACATGCTGATTTGCATCTGGCTGCATCATCTTGAATGTAAACATGCACAGTATTTTCCATGTAGTAAATATCAAGCTTCGCTTCCCAGGTTAATTTAGGTGCAGATTAATTAATTGACATTGCTTGAAAGGTTGAGTGATGCAAGGGAGTACCAGATGTATTGTCATGCAGCCCTCTTGGGTCATGGGTCCATGGCAACCGTTTTTGTCTAGAACTAATAGGTAAACTTCCCAACCAAGCTGGGAGTCACTTCATGATATCTAACATGAAATAGTGAAGAGAATTTTTGTGTATTGGAGGGCAAAGGTCTCTCAGAGAATGCATATTATTTTCTTCTTTAGCTTTAACAGAGGAACTTTCTCTGTGAATGGACAGGTGGTTTTTCATACTGTCAAGTTGGTATAGAAAGCATATAAGTTGTTTGTTTGATTGATTGGTACATCCTCACCATTAATTATTACACAAGCCCACGTTTCTTCTTAGTGCATTAGCATAAGACAGCAAGGCATGTAACCAATAAACATTTATTGTGTGCGGGGGGAGTATATTTTGTATCTCAAAAGCTTAGTGCTCTTCCACTGTTAAAGGTCTTAGTTTGTCACATATGCAAGTTTTACATGAAGTCTGACTTAGGTATATTAAGAGGTTCTGTATGGTTTCATGCATAGATTATATATATCTTGTTTGAGTGGTTAAGAATTCTCTAACCACATACAATTTAAATGTCATACTGTAACAGTCAAATAATGCCACATTACAATAAAAGATTGTGTAAAAAGGGTTGGGTTTAATTTAAACAAAAAAGATTTCCCAAGAACTTGTGACAAATGTGGCTTACTTCCAGATTTTAAACAGGTATGAAGATTAAAATCCAAAGGAGCTTTCAATTATGACAGAGGTATTTAATTTTGGTAATGGCTCTCTGCAAGGTACAAGAAAGAGTAGATAGTTTTGTTTTTTTTTTGTCTGCTGTCTCAACACCGTGTGATCCTGTGAAGTTTTCATAAGCTATGCAGCTGTCTCTTGGATGTGAGACCTCCAAAGAACATAAGGAAGTGATGCTATTGATTCAGTAGGGGTACACCCTTGAGTCACCTAATTATTACGCATGATACTAGGAATCCATATGCTGCTTTAAATGCAGTCTTTTGGAGATGATTTTTTACTGAGGCTCCAGCTACTTGTGTTCATTAAAGATCAAATGGCACTTTTTAAAAGAGTAGAGCGGTATTAGTTACTAATAATGTGCCTTGAATAATTAACATTCTGTCAACCCTTGAAGTTGTAGGTGGGTACAGTATTCTTCACTTCTGTTTTAAACCATTGTGTGGTGTTGCTACATTTGGCCCCAATGGTGACTATATTTCAATGGATGAAGAGTTCCCTTGTTATATTCTGAATATAATTGGTTAAGCATTTTTTAAGCCTTTTGAGTAAAAGTTACTTGGAAAATCTAAGGGATTTTCTATTTACTATACGGTGGAAGAGAGAAGAATATTGATTTTGTGTAAAATTTTATCCTGGTATTGGCAAACTGCTTCCTCATGGCTTTATCTGCAGAAGTATGTACACTGGTATCCACTTGGTATAAAATACTGATCTTGTTAGTACAGTGGAACTGGGTTCCAGACTATCTAGGTGTATTATCCAGACTTAAATGCCTAGGGAATAAAAACTTGCTGATGTTATGTAGAGTTGACGTTTTAAATAGACAGATTTTGCTCCTTTTATTATTATTACTTTTCTGTTCCTAAAACAAAATAAACATGATCCAGTTGTTCTAGATGACTTGTTTAGATTTTGGTGAAGATGGGGGAGGATTTGACCAGGAGCAAAGTACTATTAGCCAGCAGGCAGGGAGAAAGGGTTGTTTTCAGGGTACTCTGTGGGATCGCATCTTACTGTTTTGCATCCTTCACAGAAATCCAACCAAACTTTCCTTCAGACTAATGCCTTCCAGTTTCTTGCTACACCTAGGGATGTTCAGCTATCGCATGCCTCTTAAAAGTATTCCTTTCATAAAATTGGCCTCTTGAGGAAGGTGGTTTAATAACTGATTTGAATCAGTAAGAAAGATACATTGCTTTAAATAACCTATTTTAATCTTGCTTTCCATTTGTCCTCTTTAGTAATTTTCCTAAGAATTATACCAACCAATAAGTTGATTCTTATTGGTTGGTATAATTTGGCATATATGCACTATATCTGCACATGTTTATTTAAACAAGTATATAGCTTAACATAATTTTATTCAGATTCTTAATTTGTATAGTGTGTATTGTGTTAAATGGTGAATGCTTTTTTTTATATACTAGATAATTGATTTTTTTTATTTGTGATTTGTATCCAGCTGCATTTGGATGGAAATTGGAATTTAATTGAAAATGCGCAGAAACAGCCTTTTACATTTTTATTGGTTAAATAAAGCTACCTTATATGTTCAGAATACATAAGAGGAAAAAATAAGCTTATCAAAACATGATCTGCATTTAAAACTGATTTATAAAACAAAGAAGTGCTATCAGTAGTTAGTCAATTGAACTAATTGTTCCTGGTCACCATGTCCTTCAAGATTTTAAAACCAGTAGATTTCATCCTCCCACCTCTTTTTTTATCCTAATCAGTTTCTCAAGCTTTATCTCGAGCATTTCCTGCTTTTGCAATCCCAGATGGTTTCTCAAGCGCTGAATGAATGAGGAACTGAACTAGTTAAATAAACTGATATTAAGAAAATATTTTCAACACCTGCAAAAGAGGCTACTACGGTCAAAAGCCTGATGAGCACTTCAACAAATTCTGGCATCAGATGGTTAGACAGGGAGCGATTTCCACCAGTTTAGCGGTTTGACTTTCTTTAAAACTTCAGCAGCAACCCTGTACTACATGAATATATTTAATGTATTTATTTAATAACTTCAGCAGCAACCCTGTACTACATGAATATATTTAATGTATTTATTTAATGTAAATTATTTGAGTAGATGATAGTAACGTTAGGATTTAATTTCAAATTTAATTTCATAATTTCAAATTTAATTTTAATTAGATTTTCAAAAAGAAAAAGGTATTTAATTTAAATTTAAAAATCGGGTGTAAATAAAGCCCAATTCTTATAAGATCATCAATTTTTACCTGCCCTGCTCTTGAGTGCATTTCTTTCATGTATACAATAAGCAGCAAATTACTTGTAAAATTTCAATCTTTCTGTCAAAGGCATGCCAGTATTTTTAATATATTAAGACTGATAATGTGTCAGTCTCCCAGGAAGTGGCATCATTTAAGTCCATTACCAATATATGTGGTACTGTAGTTGTGTATAATTTAGAGAAACTTGACCAAATGTACAATAGCTTCCTTTATTTTCTTTGTTTACAGATACAGAACATTGGTAGTCCAGAAGGTTAATAGGAGTCAAAAATATGTTCAATGTTTTTGGTCTCTAGTTCAGGTCTCTCCTGTCTGTTCAGCTAAATTCTTTTCACTAAAAAAAACCCTTGGCCATAGCAAACTGTAATTAAATGCACGTCTGCCCAAGTGACTCCAAACCAGAATGCTGTTAAGTGTGTACGTAAGTGGTTAATAAAACATGCTTCAGTAGGATTCCAAGTTTTTGGCATCTGAATCATCATCCTTATTTTATTTGTATTTTTTCAGTATTTACTCTGTCTAGCTGTTACTCATTATTCTTTCCCTTAAAATGTATTCTGCTGTTCATTGATGCCAGCCACTGTTACACAAGTTCCAAAGCGGGATTGTAAATCAGTTTGCCTGATTTTAGGAGCGTTTTATCAAATATTTATCTTTGAGTTTTTGCATGATCCCTTTATGACCTATTTGTCTGTACACTTTTTACTTTATGATGTTAAACAAAAATATTTTTGATCTTTTGTTACATCACAGCTATGGTTGACTTGTTTCTGTTGTGGTGGCTAATTAATTCTGG